CAGTATGCCAAATGTCATCCTCCTCTATGCCGCAAAATAATTTTCTTAATCACTGGATTGCTTCATTCTCAAAATTGGCATGGAAGTAGTATTAATTTTTGAAGGAGCTCAGTTTTTGTTTTATTTATTTGATTTTGCCCCTGCCTCTATCAGAAGAATATTTGTTTCTGATTGGTCTATTCTACATGGAATTGTTACATTAAAAAAAGTATATTTTTTACTGAATAATAATTTTGATATTATAGAGTCTAATTGTTTCATTTCTAAAGTATTAAATCATCATTGTAGGAAAAATTATGACACCAGAAAAAATTTTTGTCACTGTCCAATTTTGTAAATAAAATTTAATTGGTAGCATGGCCACATTTGAACATTCATATACTGATCATGGTTCTTTTATCCTATAGTCACAGAGCTGGACAGTTGGAAACCATAGGCTTGCAAAAATATTTACTTTTTAAAAAAATATTTTTATTGGAAAGGCAGATCTTACAGAGAGGGGAGATGTAAAAATCCTCTGTTCACTGGTTCACTCCCTAAGTGGCTGCAATGGCCAAAGCTGAGCTGATCTGAAGCCATGAGCCAGGAGCTTCTTCTTGGTGTCCCATTTGGGTAAAGGGTTCTGAGGCTTTGGGCCATCCTTTACTGCTTTCCCAGTCCACAAGCAGGGAGCTGAATGGGAAACAGAGCAGCTGGGGCACAAACGAGCAGCCATATGGGATCCCAGCGCATTCAAGGCGAGGATCCAACCACTAGGCCATTCTGCTGGGCCCATTACCTTATTACCATTATAAAAATATTTCCCACTTATCTGTGGACCTGACTCTTCAAGCAAATGTAGGAAGGATCATCTTTTACTGATGGTACATTTTGACAAGACTATTGGTATCTTCAATGTTTCCACTTATAATAGGAAGAAAATATAAAAATTCTCAATAGGGTAATTTATTCAAGTAAAGATTCAGTGCCTTCTTATTTTTCATCGAAATCATCAAGGTTACACACAAATGGAACATTAAGAACTATTTCAGTAGTGTTTATTTCATGCAAGACCCTGGTTCAGGCACTGATATGGTCAGGTAGAATAGGCAACTATAATACAACTCAGCGTTAGGAGTGTTACCCATCAATAAAGAAACGCATGTACAAACTCACAGTGGAATAAATCTCTCTGCTCCTGTTCTTAATTTATTATCTATTATAAGACCTACTACCATCAACTTCCTCATATAGTTATATATGTAGTATCTCTCCACTAACTGTTGAGAAACTAGGGATACAGAATATCTCTTACTCAATGTTTCATCCCTCACAATGACTAAGAGAATGCCATTGTGTAGTGAGGTAGTCAGCTAGTCCAGGGTCATGAGCTTGGAAGTCACTCAGTCACCACCTAGGTGTTCCCCCCTGCCCACCTATGACTCTCACCTGAGATGGGGAGATATTGCAATGTTTTGTGACCATTCCTCCCACAAGCCCCTATAAAGGCTCATGATAAAGAGCGGCTCGCTCTCTTGGTCCTGAGCCTGCATTACTCTGGCATTCTGATTCTTGGCCGTCCCAGGACAGTTATCCCCTAAGCATGGTCCCTGTGTGTCTGCATTCATCACCTTTTTTTGTATTTCTAGTTTGTGTATCCTAGGAGATCCAGGAGAGGTGAGGACTAGACTAGCAGTGGTGGAATATGGGCAGAGAAGTCAGGGAAAGGTGAATGTCTGCAGCTTTGTGTGTCCACGCTATTTGTTGCATGCCTCTTAGGATAACTTACATTGTTGGGGAAGCTGGGACACAGGTCTTTAGCTGAATGAATGGACCTCAGGGTAAAGACCATTTGTTCCTCTTGGGGTTACACTTGATTAGACTGATAAATGGACTTGTGAATTGGTATTTCTAGTAAGCCCTGTTATTACCAAGCTTGGTTAATATAGAGTCCTTAATAAGCCTTACACATGTCTGGTGTGATCTTGCTCCCACTCCGCAACATTGCACATTCCGCACATTCAAAATCTTTAAATTTGACTAGATTATCATAAAAAATAGGTAAGATACAATGAAAGGTAGTTTGGCAGTACCTTATAAATGGTAACATATGGGTTTAGCCTTCCATTGCATCAACAGCCCTTGCTATCATATAAGCCGGTAGCTAATTTTATTGAAAAATTTAAGGAGGGAGAACAAATTTAAATAATTTCATAAATTGCAGAACTGATTTAAATTATGGAGTAAACTTTTTTTGCTGTTAGGGAAATAAGATGGTTTCTAATAATGCTGTGGGATTTCATTGGCTTTGTCACATCACTGGAACAAACACAATAACTATCTAATAAAGATAGTGCGTGTTCTGCTGGGAATCTTTTCAGAGAATGACAGGTATTATGAGCCTTCAGATTTAATTTTGTTTTCTCCAGTACTATCAGAAATATCTTCTTTTAGCCCTCCCTAACTCCCCACCACCCTGAAAAAAAGATGTTCACTAATCCTACTTGTGTGGCGAGTCCTCCCTGGAATAAAGAGCTGTAATAATTTTTTTTTTTTTTTGCTTTTGAGCTTAAATATAAACATTAAGCAATACAAAGATTGAATCTGAATCCTGTCCTCCCACTGGAGTTCCTCATGTAATTTGCCTCCTGTGATTTGGTCAGATGTCTGCTCCTCATTCTCAAAGATCACATACTTCTACAGGGCATGCTTATTTCTTTTCAAAGCAACAGCACAGAATGAATTCAACTGCATAGTAACATATCCCATGATGAAACCTCCTGATTGATACTGCTTGCTGAATAGAGCTCATTTTCTGAAAGTGCACCTAAAGAATTTTGTGTGGTCTCATCCCTTCTCCCGTGACCTATTAGTAGCTCTTTTGACTGGGTTCCAGAATTCTGAATTGGTTCAGTGGCGGACTCTAAAAGCTTTCTTTTCATCTTAACTGCTGCTCTCAGAGCTGTCTCTCTCCCACAGAGTGTTCTTTGTAAAACTATCCTTTCTAAAGATTTTCACTGTAACTCCATATGGATTCAAGTTTTATCTTCCCTTTGTTCCTTTTCAACATCAATTAGTTGGTGAGGCAAACTGAGACAAGATAAATGTACAGTTATGAACTAGGAATATAATTCAAAGCTGGCTTTAGTTTATCAGCCTGCTATTTCTCTATCTCTTTTCCTGGCTTGATAATAGAAAATAATGTTGAATAAATGTTTGTGAAATAAAATTGAGCTGAACAGAAATGTTCAGGAATAAAATAAATTCAAGACTGATAAAATAACAAGACAAAGAAAAAGACTTCAAAAATCTCAAAAGAAGCATCACTCACTACTTTTAATAGTTTTAAGAAACTACTCACTGCTTTTAATAGTTTTAAGAAAATTCACCTTTATACCATGGTACAGGACAGTTACCTAACTGAATCACAGAATATTTTGTGTTTGTCTGTTTTGAGACTTTTAGGAAGCTAACAGAGTTCAAGAGGACAGAGAGTGGAAACCCTACAAAACATTCTGCTGAGATACTCCTAACAGTGCAGGGTTAAATTACCACTTCACAGAGAACAAAAACAAGGCTTTACAGACAAAAACATTTTCTCCATTCACAAGTCACAAAATTCCTTAGAGTAAACAGTCTTAACATTTCTAGTTCTGTAACAGCAATAATTATGTAAGACAAACATTGATGATGTATTACTATTTTTCTTACTAATAATTTCCAGTTGTAGTAGTGTGACAAGTCATAGGACAAGAAAGACAGAAATATTTGTATAGTACAAACATCAGCTTGAATTTCAGTTGATTTACTTTAGAGCACCAACTTGGACAGTGTGTGTATAGGCTTAGCATCTATTCCCGTTGGCCTTCAAAAAACCACACTGAGTGGCAGCATGGACATGCGCCAGGAGCATAGGTCCAGAGCAGGAAAATTCCCGGAGGTTGGCTCCTGCTTCAACTCTGAGCTGTTTCTAGTTGGTAAAAACACATTTTCCCCAAGGTAACACCTTTCAATTCTACACAGCTTAAAAAATTGCAAAGGTAGAAAATCACTTTGGTCTGTGGCTTAAAATTATTATGTTTCTGTGTGTTTTTTTTTTTTGTTCCGTGTTTGTTTTATTTCTCTGCAATGCACTATGACTTCCAAGTTTCTACCAGCTTTAGATTTCATATATGAAAGCCAGTTTTCCATTTTCCTTTCTTCTCTCTCTCCCTTTTAGCATAAATAAAACAGGCTTCTAAAGGCATCATTTTAAAATGGGTGCTTCTGTTCCTAGGGAATAAATAATGCTGGCCTACTTCTGACAAGTTAGTTTCTTTCCAAAATATAAAGCCTATTTTAATATTTCAAACATCTAACTTCATCAAATTTCCCAAAATATTTCCTTTTGGCCTTTAACTAATAGTAAAATAATAAAAGGGTTTAAGTCTTGTTCCGAAAACACATACTAATGATTTTGCAAACTGAAGTAGAGGAATGAATCATTTAGGACTTAACAAGTTGGCTCACACGGAGTGATCAAGTAGTTTTAAAAAATTTTACATTCAATATAAGAATTCTTAAAATTAATGTATAATTTTATATTTTGAGTACCTAAGAGAATATATCTTATTAGTAAGAAAAGGAATAGACCTGTAAATTCAGATTATGGAGACTTTCGAAATAAGAACATATGAGTTAATATAGCAGAAACAGTTTTAGTGATTTATATCATAAAAATATGTTTGGAAATTGTTGCATCTTTTATGTTCTACTGCTTCTGCCATATGCCATAACATTCACATGTTCGCTATATTCTTGCTGGTTCAGAGCCTGTTTGTAAGTCATGTTCCATTAAGTGACTCATAAATTAAAGAAACTGCTACAGAAATACAAAGAACTACGATTTCTTGTTTGGGATTGTTTCATGCACTAGGCTGGACAAGTTTCCCACAATATTTAAATGAATAATTCATTGATTCAATAGACGAACATTTGAAAATGAAATATGACATACAGGAGGTCAAACGTTTAATACTCACTGTAGAGAACGGTTCCATTTGAAGTGCTTGTTTTTATGGTCAAGTGGATGGTGACAATTCTCTTCTGTTCCTTTCCCAGGACAAACTTCAACTTATCCAAGATTGCAAACAATGGCAGCTCCAAATAAGAATTTCCATCGAAAGACGGAAAAAATAAACCTGCATCTAAACAAAATAAATGATATCAGTATGCTCTAAAAACGTTATATTATAGTTTTAGTAGATTAGAACCTTGCATTCATAATTAGCATTCATTTAAAACCTTTACACTGATTTTTTACAGAAATATTAGTTTCAATTTTATAAGTTCTAGAAGTATAAATAATATTATTACCTCACATGATCGAACACTCATTGTATGTTCATGGATAGATATTACTTATAAAAACCCTGAAATTGCATAAAAAATTATCATTTTCATTAGATACTCAAAATGTACTGAGATGTAAATGTCTGATTGTGATCATAAAAGATATTATTGGCGCTGAGCCAATCCAAAGCCAGGAACTGCTTCCAGCTCTCCTGCACGGATGCAGGGGCCCAATAAATTGAATCATACTCTGCTGTTTCCCAGGTCATAAGCATATTAGTCTGATATGCCACAGTTCTGGCCCCAAAATGACAGATGTTTAAAGCTCATTATGTCTCTCAAATTAGGGATTCCAGGTAAAATATGTGTTCTTAGTCGCATCTGAATTTCAAAAAACACACATTATTATTGTTCGTATGGCCCAAGCACTATATTAAGAAATGGTAGCTCATTTGATGGAAAAATATTATTTGAAATTTAAATTTAACTAAGCTAGATTTATTTATTTATTTATTTATAGCTGCTAAATTGGTATTTTTAGCCTCTTCTGAGATAATTTGAGAACTGCAACTCTAGGATTTGTAACTACTACCAGCCTTTGATTGGTTACTGCTACTTCAGTTCTGTTCTAAATATTCCTGTTAAAATTATATTCTTTATACTAATAGCAACTTGCCTGTGAAAAAGCAAAAGCTGAGGAGACTTAAAGGGGAAAAGAAGACTTTTTCCAAGATTAATGTACTAGGGAAGAAGAGCCAGAACTCAAATTCTTTGTAGTAATGAGTTGAGTAGGGACATTTTTTTAAGAAACAGGAGAAAAACACAGGCCATCTGTGTTTGCTAACTGAGTTTACCGAAAGGAAAAGTACATTTTTTCCCATCCATGCAACAAGAGGCAGTTTTACAACTGGGGGCAAGGTGCCTATTGAAGTTAGGCTCCTCCTACAGAGCAGACAGACTGGAAGCATTAACTTTCTTGACTACATTTCAAAGGGATGCCTCCCAGGTCTTTGAGAAAGATATTCCAGTGTGAAGAAACTGGTAAGACGCTTTTAAAAAAGATTTACATTTCAAAAGAGACAGAAAGAATTTACTGCAGAAAGTTTTCTAAAGTAAAGGCTTAACAAAGAAAGGTTAGGAACCTAGAGTCAGAAAGGAGGTTAGTCAAGTTGAAGGGAATGTTAAGGTCACCTTGGACATCTGCCTAGAACTGCTAGGGCAAGATATAAAATAACTCTATGCCAACCCTCTTTCAATGGTTCATGGTGTTATTTTCCAGATATCTAGCCGAAGCTACTTACCCTCAAACACACTGTCAGATGTTAAGGGCGATTCACATTATATTTTTCTGACAAAACCATAGTACTCAAAATCATGTCTCTAAAATCAACTCTTCTCTAAATATTAACTTATTTAAATATAAAAAATTGTATATTTGGGTATGGTTAATATTAATTGAGTACAATTAGTACTAAAATTATATCTTTGGGTGTGGTTCCTCGCCATGCTTATGGCATTATATCCTGGGATAAGAAATAAATTTGCTTTTATATTTTTGTTCTATCTATAACTTATGAGTTAATGCAAAAGTCAGATAACAATTATATAATATATCCATTAATAATCTGCTTGATTTACAGTATCACATATGTCACCATTTTTGACCTTGTCTACAAAACCTTGTGCCTTATAATTTATCTGTTCCATGTTTTATTAAACCCTGTTTTATCTAAAGTGTAAGTGCTCTTTTACCTGGAAATCTCTGCAACCCTATGTAACTGGTATGTTCTTTCTCCATACATTCCATGACACTTTAACAGCTGCTGCTTATCCACCTGACGGGCAGTCCTTCTGCAGACCAAACTACTTCCATTTCAGAAGCTGCATCATTCCCAAGTCCTGAGTCCTCTAATATATGTTTTTTGTTTGTGTCTTTTTGTTTAAACCAAACCTGTTTCTCTCCACAACGCTTGCTTCCAAGATGGAAAAAAACATCATTTGCCATTCATCTCTTCTTAAACTTGTTTCTAGCTTCTGATATCTGTTCCTCTGATCAAAACTTGCTTTTGTTTCCTTTTGCATCCACTAGCATGATTCAAGTTTGTATTGTATTTTAACGTGACAGTTTCAACTTTTTCAAACTGGCATCCCTTCCTCTATGGTTTATTGGCTGTTATTGCAGCTGTGATAATATTAGTTATTATCATCTAAGGCCTTTGTCCAAAAGCTTTCAATGAACACAATAATTAAACCAACAAGGTCATCCACGGTGTTATATGTCAATTGGCCCAAAATCTACCTGTCAGTAAAGTTGACCTACACTTTGTTTGATTGCTCCATTTGTGTTCAAATGATTCGATTTCTCTTCATTCTTCTTTTTTGGGTTTGTAAATAAAATAATTTAAAAAATAATGCAAGATCCACTTGAATGTGGACTCCTTTTAGCCTTGTATTCACAAATCTTTTAGTCTACACATTTCATTTTTATGTTACAATTGCTGCTGTAAATGCTGAGCAGAATTGATGATATAGTGAGCTTCCTGCGTTGGATGAGGTAGGTAAATTGACTTTAATTTCTAGATATAGAATGTTTTAAGTAAATGAGTTCTAAGAAAGCATGATTTAAGGAGGCATATTTCCTTCAGATGTTTTAATAGCCTCCAGTTTTCTGTTTTTAATTAAGATTTATTTATCTATTTGAGAAGCAGAGTTAGGGCACAAGAGTGAGAGATGCCAATTTTGCATCTACTTGTTCACTCTTCAAATGGCTGTGATGCCCAGGGCTGGGCCAGCTTAAAGCCGGGGCCTGTAATTCCATCTGTGTCTCCCCATGTGGTTGACAGTAGTTCAAGTATTTGGGCCATCTTCCACTGCACACTCAGAAGTATTAGTGGGGAGCTGAATTAAAAGGAGAATATTTAGAAGTAAAATAAGTACTTATTTGGCTGTAGGCATCATTACAGTGGCCTAAACTGTTGTGCCACAATATTAGCCCCATATTTTCTTTTATGTCATCAGATAAGTCTTTGGCAGTTAGATTCCCCCCAACTAGAGAGAATGTTTAGTAGATGTTAACTATACATACCCCACTTTTTTTTTAAGAAAAGTATTTCTTTATTTTTATTGGAAATGCAGATTTACACAGAGAAGGAGAGAGAGAGAGAAAGATCATGTATTCACTGTTTACTTCCCAAGTAACCGCTACAGTGGGAGCTGATCTGATCTGAAAGCCAGAAGACAGAAATTTCCTTCAGGTTTCCCATGTGGGTACAGGGTTCCAAGGCCAAAGCCATCCTCCATTGTTTTTCCAGGCCACAAGCAGGGAGCTGGATGAGAAGTGGAGCCATCAGGATAGAAACTGGTGCCCATATGGGATCCCAGTGCGCGCAAGGTGAGGACTTTAGGCACTGGGCAACTGCGCTGACCCCACAGCTCTTTTTAATAGTAGTGCAAGAAGTACAACAAATGTGCTCATTAAGATAAATGAAGATGTTTCACGCTGGCATTGTGATGCAGCCAGTAAAGCCGTCATCTACGATGCCAGCATCCCTTATGGATAACTGACTGGTGTCCTGGAGGCTCCATTCTTTATTCAGCTTCCAAGTAATTGCCTAACGTTATTTTTAAAAATTGTGGCACTGAACCTAACGTGAGATAGAATTTCATATAGATGGGAGAGCTCAGTGTATGTCCCATCCATTCTCCCAGATTATATATTCTCTAAATGACACATGATATATACATATATAATATACACATTTACTCAGTTTATTATTACACATCTGTAACATATATATTTATTGTCATACATGTCATCTCATTTATGATTTGAGTAGGAACAAAGCAAAATTCTTTGTACTATTGTAACATATACAATAAAATATTATTAACTATAGTTACTCTACTACTATGCTACAGGGCACGAGAATGTATTCCTAGGATCTAACAACTGTTTTAATATACATACCTCTACATACCTAATCTAGCCTCTCCATTTACTCCCCTATCTAACCGATGGGAAACAACTGAAGGTGGTTTTTCCAGGAGAAAAAGGCCAGAGAAATCATCGTAAGATTTAATGGGGGGAAAAATCATAGAAATAAGGTTTTAGCATTTATCTTGTGATCAAATTTCTTCTCATTATTGATAAATCCATGAGAAAGTTGTTTGAAGGTATCATTTTTATATGTGCATTCATATATGAGTTGAATAATTTGAATCCTCAAGCAGCTTTTTTTTTATTGTAAGAAATAATGAACTCACCAGGAGCAAGGGGAATATAATTCAATTTGCTAAGAAATGTGTTCCATGGGCCCGGTGCGGTGGCGCAAGTGGTTAAAGGTCCTCACCTTGCACGCCCAGGATCCCATATGGGCACCGGTTCTAATCCTGGCGGCCCCTCTTCCCATCCAGCTCCCTGCCTGTGGCCCGGGAAAGCTTTGGGACCCTCACCCGCGCGGGAGACCCGGAAGAGGCTCCTGGCTTCGGATCGGCATAGCATTGGCTGTTGCGGCTCACTTGGGGAATGAATCATTGGACGGAAGATCTTCCTCTCTGTCTCTCCTCTCTGTATATCCGCCTTTCCAATGAGAAAATACAATAAATCTTTAAAAAAAAGAAATGTGTTCGATGCTGTTCTGCAGGAACATATCTATTGTGTAACTCACGTGCACCTATCTACCTACTCACTCACGCACTCCTTGCACTTCTGTCACTGAGCTGACGGGTTTTATGAAAATTATAAAAGGAAACAACAAATTATGAACAATAAACACTTGCTATTGAATTGCTTTCTAACCATATTAATTTTCATTATCATCATGTTTAGTGGATATGTTGAAAAACAGAACTGCCC